ATCCTCATCAGACTCATATTTTTTACTGGTAACGTTTCTTTTCTTGGATGCACCTGTCACCTGATGCCAATTGAAATTCTAGGTACCAAACAGTCGATGTTACAGTGGATGTTATGACATCCACTACTGAGCAGACTACAGAACTTAACAATAAATAGGAATTGAAAGCAGCAAATAACACAGAGAATTGTTGACCTAGTTCAGTGCAAATCACACCTACATCTGGGGGCTACCAAGCCAGGGAGGAAATTCACTCTTAGTAGAATTAATTCAGAGTCAAACAACCAGTTTGCACTCTTCACTTAAGACCTACCCAATGACACTTCAGCCTAACACTAGACCGGAGTTACCAACTCACTCCCCCTCAATCACAACAGTGATATCAACCAATTCAGTTACAGGTAAAATTGAAGTCACACTTTAAACACACCTTGATCTGCTTCATAGCTTTGACCAAGAGACACAGCACTCGTACTTAAAAGCTTAGAGTGACACACACATAGTACAGCTCAAAAAACACTAGTCCAATGCAATCATCCAAGAGATAATTGCTTGGCTCACAAGTAATCCTAAGACACAAAAAACCACGTGAAGCTCACAGTACACAGACTGAATTCTTCACTTACAAAAACTTTTACTCTCTGTCTCAAAAGCTCTGCCCAGTCGTCTCTACCATTAGGATTGCTACTTTGTTATTTATAAGCAGTAGAAAGATCTTGGGCCTTAGTGCAGAAATTAGGTTTAACCCAGTTAAGACCTCTTTTCATTAAGCTGCACACTAACAGTTGTGTCCTAGGTTATCCTCAGCCTTGCCTGGCATTTCGCTTGAGATAACCAAGCTTCCTAAATAGTTTCCTGAAGTATAGCCTGAGCTTCCTCATGCACTATACCAGAACCTAAAACACGCGCCCTGATGTCAGCTGCTTGATATCATAACATCCAGCATGACATCCAAAATTCTTTGCTCTTAGCTATCCAAACTTACCCTACAACACACTTTTTATGTATGTCATAACATCAGTCATGACATTCGCACATACATCAATGTTTTACCATAAAATGCATCCAATCAAAAACATCTACAAAGTGTATCCAACCCTTTGCAAATGAGTTGGAATAGGTAAAAAGAGTTGGTGGTGACAAAGACGCACATGGATGCTTCATTAGGACAACACATGGATTACCATATCTATGTGAACTTGCAGGTCTTTAAATACAAGGTTATCTCGTTCCATTGGAAACCATTCAGGTGTTTTGGAAGAAATTGCACGTTAAAGAGTATGAAGTCATGAAAGAAAAGAGATAGATACAATTGAAGAGGTATTTCGGCATATTGGATATTGTTGGCCAAAGGTCGATGAAGAAAAAGGTATGTGAACTTACATATCCATGACCAAATTCTATGTGTCCACCACAAGTGAAGTACAAACTAAAAAGGGTTAATAAGAGTAAAAGGGGCAGGGGGTGATGCGTATCATGATCCTTCAAATTGAGAGTATGTTGATTCCTTTTGCAGGGAAGTCAAATGTCCAAGAGATTATCTAGTAAAGCTCCATCAAGTAAACTATCTAACAAGTCTTCAAGACATCTTTAGTTGTCCCAATTTCGTATTTTGTTACACGCTTCATTGAAGATATTATAGATGTAGAGGCTGATGAAGATTATGGTTTTCATGCTATTGGAGATTTACTTGGATGAGGTGAAGGTTCATAGTCATTAATTTAGATACAACTATATGGTAAGGTTTATCAAAATAACCATTTTTATTCTAAGGTGTTTTATGATTCAGTCTTAGAGTTAGGAGTTCATTGCCAATCTCTTGCTTGGATGTTCAACATCGTGAGAAATGGATAACGGTTCCTGACATGGGTTACCCTATTACTTCTAGATATAGTGTGATATTAGTATAGCTGTATAGTAACCTTAACATACCTTTCTTCTCACACTACGCCAAAATTGATATTTTGTATCGCCTAATTTAATAGCGCTTTTAAAGAAAGTGCTATTAAAAAGGAAACAAACACATCTATAATAGCATTTTATAGTCGGGGGTTATTATAGAGTACAGAGAATGTGATTTTGATAGCACTTTGTAAAAAAGCGCTATTAATATTCTTCACTAAGATAACGCTTTTAACAAAAGTGCTATTAAAAAGGAAACAAAATGTGATTTTGATAGCACTTTGTAAAAAATTCTATTATTAAACTTTACTAAGATAGCGCTTTTTTTCAAACGCTATTAATATTCTTCACTAAGATAGCGCTTTTCAAAAAAACGCTACTAAAAATTTTCACTAAAACATCACTTTTCACTAAGATAGCGCTTTTTTTAAAGCGCTATTAACAGTCTTCACTAAGATAGCACTTTTCAATAAAATGCTACTAAACGTTTTCACTAAAATAGAGCTTTTCAAAAAAACGCTATTATAAGACTATATTATAAAATATATAATAAATAGTAAAATTAATTAAAAACCAAAGTGTTTTCCCGAATACGCTTTTCGTTTTAGTGCACAAAATTTTTGCTACTACCGCAAAAAACAGAACACGTTCTTCCACTCACTCATCTTCTTCCTCTGATTTACTCACTCATCTTCTTCCTCTGATTTACTCACACCATCGACCTAACCTTCCTTCAAAACATGGTATCTCTCACTCATCTTCTTCCTCTAATTTACTCACGCCATCTCCTTCCTTCATTCATCGATTCACCACCGGATAGAGGAAACACAGTCGATTCAGATTCACCTTGGATTCACCACTCGAATAGAAAGAGGAAACACGAGAAAGAAAGAACAAAGAAAACCTATTCTCTGTCGAACTCAGTGCTTCATCAGCTCACCACCGTTACCCTTCTCTTCATTGGTATCTGGTAATCTTTCTTTTCTCATATTATTGCTTTGTGTTGTAAATTGTAAAATTAGGGATTTGAATTTGAAGATAATTTAGTTTCTACCATTTTTAACTAATTATAAGTGAATCCCTAATTTTTCCGAGCTTTGCAATATTTTAACCTAAGGTATTACCGAATACACTTTCGAATTTAGGAGAGACAAAACTTGTATGGCAAAAATATTTATGAGTTTTGAGACATAGGCGTATTCTTGTTTATTTTAATTGAAGCCATGGAAGCTGCCATCGCTGGCCCTGAGTATCAGAAACTAGTTGTGCTGGATTAGATTCCTTCTGTAGTTAGCTAGTGTTCTATATAATGTGCAACAATCAACCATGTCATTGATAAATGTTCCTGCAGCTTTGTATCTATTGGGAAATATCAAGTGTTGAGATTAAGAAATTTTGTATCGAATGAAGATAGGTCACTGTTACTATTGCAATTGCATTGGGAACATTGATATTGCAGTCTTGTTGCATTTAAAACCACAATTGTAGAAAATTTTGACAAAATATCTGATCTACTTTCTTTGGTGAATGAGAAACTTCATGCTTTGTTCAAAAGGGTTGGAAATGGTCCAAGCCTCGTTGCTTCCGTTCACTAATACAATTTAATCATTATTAAAAATATCACAGTTAAATCGTGACTAAAATATACATAACTCGTATCCTAAATTATGACTAAAATAGACATAATTTTGGAAAAATTAAGATGTCCTAAGTATAAGTTATAAGAAGGTGAATTGGTAGTTGAGTTTGGTGGTTGCAGTGTAGTAATTTTCTCCCACTGTCAGCAAGATAGAGCCACCCACTGCTGGTGGTTGATGCAAGCGGCATTAAATCGCCTCTAACATCATACATCTTCCTTGTTTTTCTCTGTGTCACCTTTCTTCATTTTCAGTCGCACTATAAACCAAAAACAACATACTCTGCTACTGGTTTTTTTGATGCGGGTCTGAGACAGTAGAAAACATTCAGAGTATTAAGTTATAGTTTTCACCAAAAGAGTGGTAAGGGTTTCTTGAAGAGTGGGAGGAAGGGGGGCCCTAACTATTCTCAGCTAAGTTTTATGGTGATGTGGAATAGGAAGGAATTTGTATTGTGAGAAATTTTATTATAGGTACAAGTTATTAGTTCCTGTCAATTTATTTACTTTTTCATGTATGGAGTTTTCTTTTGAGATCGACATGCATGCATTTCTTTTTCAGACGACTGTAAAGATCCTTTTTAGTTGAACAAGATCTATTCACACAAAGTGGTGAAAAACTCTTTATGTGTATTTTCTACTGGGTTTAATGGACCATTGCTGTCATCACTCTGTCATAACAGGCTTGTTCTCATTGGCTTTGAATCTATTTAACCCAGCTTGCTTTACATATATTGCATGCCTATGTCATTTTGTAGCTCTATTTACAGTGTTGGGTTGTTGGTGTCAACTAACTGACAGTAGGTCATATTAAGATAATTCTATCTGTTATATATCTGGATTCTTTGTATAGATTTCATCACTTTGGCATTTCAGAAGAATAACATAACATATTTATATAGCTTTGTATAGATTTCACCAATTAGCCAGCAGAAGTTGTCCTGTGAATAAGCTTAATAATATTGGCATTGAAGTTAGGAAGTATCCACCCTATCTTGATCCACCTTTGTCACAGTTTATAGTTACTCTTGTTAATCATATTCGTAAGTGAAGCTTTTACATCTCTGTTAATTTCCTTCATTCTCCTATGGGTTGGAGTTGGTAGAAAACTTCAAAATAAACATAATTAGTCTTGTAATTAATATGATATGAAGAGATTTTTCTGTTTCATGGATTATGTTCTTTTAAAATGAGCAACTATAAACCATAAATATTGGTTGTTTCCTGAGAATATAAAACCCGTTTCACACGCTTGATCTTGCATTAATCAATAATAAGTCAGATACACAAATTAGACTTAACTCCATCCAGGAACGTAAGCATTCGTCATAATTGTTTTTGTAAGTTCTGCTTGCTCATTAAGAATTAAAGTCATATGATTTAAAGCGGTGCATAAGCGGAAACTTGCCTTCAGTTTTTAAAAATGGAATGCAGGATTGATTATCTTTCTGTGCTTGCTCCACTATTCTCCGTCGAGGTTTACTAGGCCATTAACTAATAACCTGACAAGCGGACTCACACTATTCTTTCGGATTTCGTTGTTTTTGTTAAGTACATCTTTAATTATCTCAGGATCTGTGATGGTTACCCTTGGTGTTGGTCCAAACCAAACAAATGAGTTCTTAACTGCATACCAAATATACACAAAAATTTATGTAGGAATTGAGCACAGAACCAATGGTGTTTATATTTTCTGAATACAATACTTGTTAGTATTGTAAAAGGAAAACATATCATGAATAAAGAAGAAAAGATGTAGATCCCATCAAATAAGCACCGACACACACATATACAGACACCCAACACCGACATCGTGTTAGTGTTGGACACTGACACATGTCATACACCTGACACGCCTTTATTTAGAGATGTCGTGCGACATCTCACACAATGATTAAAACCAACCGGCAATCATGAACTGATCGGTGAACACTAAGAATGTTAATAATTTATATCAATGTTTGATGGACCAAAAAACATGTTATTTTTTCCTACTGCAGTTAGTATAGTACATGCAGATAATTAACATGCTATCATGCTTGAGATCATCCACAATTAGTTACTTTAACGACAAATATTTTGAATGGAGGGCCAAAGAAGACCCATATCCATTTTTAAATGGTTATTAATTATCTAATACAATTATTAAGAGCTGTACGGAAAAACTTAAAAATAATGGTAAAATAAGTTGGGAAGAATAAGAAGAGACATACCATATTTTACAACACTTTGTTGGAAATAGGAAAACACACGAGGAACAATATCATCAGAAAGATTGATGGGTTTAGATGTTGCTTCTTGTCCCATCTTTACAATATCTTTTATGTCTCCAACTAAAAACCTATATGAATTCCCTTTGAGTCCTTATTCTCTTAGAAGCTTTTCTAGCTTCTTTGGCTTCAGCCATAACCAATTTAGCATCCTCCATGACCATGTCAAAGCAAGGATTATGACAATGAAGACAATTTTGCATAGAAAAAAGATAATTTATCTATTTAACTTACATATTTATAATGTGACTTTGTAAGTTTCATTATACTTGGTAATAGAAGTGTTTGTAGTCTAAGGAAAAATATATAAGGGGCACGCATAACCAATGAGTGCATGTAGCTAAGAATTGCATAAGATTGTTCCAGTCTTCCTAAGTTTACTTGAGTTAAGAGTGGGGCTTTGATACACTCATATGCCCGCTGATGAACATCAGTCATAGACAAAGTCAAGTGCATAAATACTTTTATAGTTGCCAAGACAACAACACCATTTTTCTATTGGAGTCTATCTTCAGGGAGATTCATTATTTCAAATATTTTACTATTATCTGAAGGAATGTACTTAGCCACTAATTCCATCATAATACATTGTTCTCATTCACTAAATTTCTTAATGAAACTAAATTTTTTGGCTTTAGGATGCTTTAGATTGATGCTGAATCCAGGGTGTTATGCTTATGTTTAATTTCTTTTAGTGGCTGGTAGTTATTATAGGGGTAGATTCATAGGTAGGACCTAATTTGGCCAGGTAGAGAATTTTGATATAAAATAGTTTTTATAGGGGTAGATTTCTTTTACAATATCTATTTTATATGAATTCTGAAGATCTAAGTTTAATGGTTAAAAATGTCGGTGCTAAATGAAATTAAAATTGAAGCAAGAATTAACTATAGTTTTCATATGGAACTAGAAAGAAATTTAGGGTTGAACACCGTTTTTCATGCATATTTACTTTAGACCATGTATAGAATTGGTTTATGCATAAGAAATTGTAGGATAAACACTTAATTGTGTTGTTTATCTAAAAAGGATCAATAAGCACTTATTAAATAAGTCTATACTATATGGGAGTTTATGTCTTAGCTTATTTGCATTTGGATGTCTGCCTTGAAGCTATTTGCATTATCAGCATTTGTTTTCATTGTAAAAATAGAATTTTGAGTGAATGGGGATGAAGAGGTCATAAGGTAGGAGTTAAGTTCTACACACGGTTCTTTATGTTGTTTATGTTTAATTGATTTTAGTGGCCGGTAGTTATTTTTCTCTTTTACTATATTTTTTTATTTGCCATTATATTTTGTAGTGTTGATCAGTACCCATATTTTTTTATGGGACTGAATCGTGTGTGCGTATATATATATATATATATATATATATATATATATATATATATATATATATATATATATATATATATATATATATATATATATATATATATATATATATATATATATATATATATATATATATATATATATATATATATATATATATATATATATATATATATATATATATATATATATATATATATATATATATATATATATGCCCTTATAGGACTAAGACCTTGAAATTGGGCGTATGATTCATAGGTAGAACCTAATTTGGTTGTTAGGAGCAGTTGTTAACTAGTTATATATATTACTTGTTAGGAAATATGGATCGGAAATGGATGTTTTCCAATCGAGCGTCAAAAGAATACGAAGATGGGGTTCAAGAGTTTGTTAGATTTGCTATTGCTCATGCCGAAGACACTAGTAAAATCATATGCCCTTGCTTAAAATATTGTTATACGGATGTTAGTGCAAATGTTCTCTCGTACTTTGGTTATATAATTAATAAGTATACATTTTATACGAAAGAACATGATCATCAAAGCACTATGCCAAATAGCGGTGTCACACTCGTAGTTGAATATGTGCATATCTCAAGTTCCAAAGACAGAAATCTCGCATTTTCCAAATTGTCATATTTTGGGGTCATTGAATGTATTTGGGAGTTGGATTACTCATGCTTTCAAGTGCTTGTGTTTGGTTGCAAGTGGGTTGACAAACACAATGGCCTTCAAGTTGACCCTGGGTTCATGAAGGTTGATCTTAATAAAGTGAGGTATAAAGACGAGCCTTTTATTTTAGCATCACAAGCTCACCAAGTATTCTATGTCACTGATCCTGCCGATGAAAAATGGTCTATTGTGTTTCTAAGTAACAAAATAAATGATCAAAACACTCAAAGTATAGATGTTGAGGATGATCCTTTCTTTAATACATCACAATCCCTTGAGGATGAACCAATTATAGATGATATTCTTTATATGAGAAACGATCACAATGATGGGATTTGGATCAACCCATCATTTTATGTATCTAGAAAACACAAAAGTAGGAATCCAATTACAAGGGAGAGGAAAAGTCCGACTTGAAAATTTGTGGAATCACTTGAAAATCGTCTTTAATGTGAGTGAATAAAAAGTTGTTTAAGAATGATATTGTGTTTTATGTTTGTCTGAGTTTGCATGAATAATGTCATCAAATATAATACTATTACACTTTTTACAAGTTAAATATGGTTTCTACTAATGATGAAGGTGGTTCGTCTAGTACGAAAACAGTTGGTAAATGTGGTGTGATTCGGTTGCAAAAAATTCACAAAGCCAAAAGCAATGGAAAGAGGATTGAGGTAAAATAGCTAGATTTTTGTGAGACCGCTGATTGTCTTAGAATATTAGTGAGATTGATGATTATTTAATTGCACTTTAATTTTGTTATAGGTTCAATGAAATGCAAGAGATCAACCAATCAAGCATAATAGCAAGAGTTTTGCTAGTCATATTGGTGTCACGGTTCGTCGGTTAGTTCCAATTAGTTTGGACAATTGGAGTGCGAAAGAAAATAAAGAGGCTGTAGGGGTTTATAAACAAAACATTTGGGATGAAATTGAAGTAACACACTAACTCAAGCTTTGTTGTAAAATTTTAATTTCATAAATTATCTGTTTGGATGTTTAAATAACCTGAACAGTGTTTTAATAAATTGAGTTGTTTGCAGAAAGCTTTTGTAATTGGAAAAGAACATCATGCATTTATATATAAAGAAGCTGGAAAGTTGCACAGGGAATTCAGGACAAAAATGGCAAAGTTCTATCTAAGAGATAGTAAGGGTGGTTTTGTTAAACATCGACCAGCAAAATATTCTTACTGTATAAAACAAGAGGATTGGGATAAATTTGTAGCTCAGCGTCTGACTGAAATGTTTCAGGTAATAACTTGTCATTATTTATCTCTATCCATCATGCATACAAATTTGTATAGCAATGTTAACACTTATTTGCTATTGTACCGATACTTCTCAAATCCGACATAGCTCGTAAAACATAATTACAAAATGCAAGTTCTTAGAGGAATTGGTGTTGAATAGGTTTCCCATCACAATTTCTTCCTTTGTTTGTCTGTATGAGACATTAGATTGCACTTGGTCAGGTGTGAAAAGTGTCACTTTACAAGTCCCTCTACTTGAAATGGTTTCAATGAAAATATTTTGGATCAATGAAAATATTTTGGATCTCGGTTAATCTTAATGAAAGTGTTCAAATTGATTTTATTGTAACAAGTCTTTTATACTTATCAATGTCAAGAAAAGTTAACAGAAGCTCTAACTGAAGAAGAGAGACAAGACCTTGGTCCTACGGACATATTATTCGAGGCTTTAAATCTCCCAAACTACTCTGGTCGTATTAGGAGTTACGGTTTTGAGGTATATTCTAGGGACATATTACCACGCCAAATTCGCCCCACACAAATGGACTTTCAAAAATTTTATGGCTTTTGCAACACACTCAAAAGTATATTGGAGGTGCTAGAGAGAGAGAAGCTGGAGAGAGATAAGTTGGATAGAGAGAAGACAGAGAGGCAAAAAACCGAAGAAGTGGCCGAGAAAGAACAACCTGAAAAAGTGGCACAGAGCTTGCAACAAATTGAAGAAGTGGCAGAGAGGCAACAACCTAAACAAGTGTCAAAGAGCTTGCAACAACCTGAAAAAGGGACACAAAGGCAAGAGCTAAGTGATAAAGGTTCTTGCAACCCTGTATCATTTGGTAATACTCCCGAGGTAATTGGCTTCTTTAAATAATTTGTATTATATGTTATACAAAACCCTATTAGTCTTTCAATGTTCTTTTTTGTATAATATATTACTTTTTTTGTGTGTAGAAATTTTGGCTTTTTATCCCATCTTGTGATAAATTAGCTCAATATGTATAATATATTACTATGGAATATGTTTTCAGGTGTTTCAATTCTAAAAAGTGATGGAAAAGTTTCATAAAAATAGTATGTGTATATTTTTTTTATGTTGTAAAATTAAGAATGTTGTGTTTGGAACAAAACGTGTATATTGGGAAGATCCCTTTTCTTTTTTAAGTAAATTATGTTGAATACTTTTTTGGTATATACATATTTAGTGATATTTGGTAATGGCATCATTGACATGTGCATAAAGAAGATGATAATGTTTTTATGCAGAAAGAAGCTTTTGGTAGAAGCATGGATACTATGATTGTGACAAACATGAGAGGATCCTTTGAAATATTTGGGATTATTGTATTTTGCTGCTGTTGTTTTGTGATGATCACATGATATACTGTGACCATGCAAAAACAACATTGGCAGATAGTATCATTGCTTTTTTATTCAGAAAATGACAAAGATTTGCCCTACATTTTTAAAATAAGAATCTTGTGATATATTTAGGATTGACAAGTAGGGTTGGCATTGAAATGAAACAATTTAAAATTACTTTGAAAGCAGTTCATATATGTTTGTTTTGTATCTCATTTACTAATAGGGTTGTTGTAAATAATGATATTAATGTTTTTATTTGTATCTCATTTGGTTTAGGGTCTATTTCCTGTTAATATATATTTATCATCCCCGAGTCGGTGTTTGGTTGCTCGTGGCAAACTATATAATACCAAAGGTAACACAGTGCACGGCATGACGTTACCACCTGGATATGTCAAGGTTAATATCGAAGTTGCTATTGTGCCAAATGCTCAATTGCCTATATCTGTTGAAGGTGGTGATGTATCGATGGTTTGTTGGGCAATAGGAACAATTGTGCCATGGCCAATGAAACTTCTTGAATTTGTTGCTGAATGTGAAAAGGTAAATTACTTATTATTAACTTGCTTGATCGTTATTTGTTTTATTATTTGATCACTAACCTTAATTAATAAAACTTTTTAGAATCCTGATCAATCCCAAAACAAAGTTAAGAATACTCAACGAAGTGTTGATTCTGTTTCGTCACCTAACAAAAGCAACAAAAAATTCAAAATTGAAGAGTCTTCTAGAGTTGGAGGTTCAACCAATTTTGTAAATCTACCTTTCCTTGATATGCATGTGAAAAAGATGATCAGGGTTGGATCGTTAATTCAAATAAAAATGGAGGAAAGTATATTTGGTGAGGATTTTTTAGAGCATCTATGTGTAGAGAGTATAACAGAGATTCTTTATCATACTTGGTTAAGTGCCTCTATTATCACTGTATTTTCCAGGTACCTCTATTATTACAAATTTCGTCTAATCTGACAAATATATTAATATTTACATTGTTGACAAATATATTAATACCAATTATTGTTGTTCATTTCTAGGTATTTGTATGACAAGTTTATTAGTCCAAATAGATTAATAAATAAGTTCTCCTTCATATCCCCACATGTAGCACGGGAGGATAATCTAGGAAATGCTATAGCAAAAATACTTCTGAAAGATGAGGAGTACTTCAAGGATAAGATGATTCTTGCACCTTACAATCTAGGGTGAGATTTCTATTCAAAATGTTATTAAATTTACGAGAAAGGTCAATCCTTGTTTGCTATAGTAACTGTAAATACTGAAGTGGTTAGTATAACAAATAAGGTGAGTACATGAACACAGTTAGTATACCAAATCATAGTTCCCCTCCAAATAATACTTGTAATCAATCTAAGGATAATAATTACTCATTATTTTCTTTGCAGGAAACATTAGGTATTACTTATCATCAATCTCGATGCTGAGGTGATATATTACATGGATCCGTTGAATGGTGAGCCAACTAAACATCAAAATTTAAAAACCAAGTTTGAGAAGTAAGTATAGACTCTTTTAATTTAACATTTATATAAGTATTCTTAGTTATAATAATTACTCATTTGAAGTTAATTTCATTTTGTTAGTGCATTACAAATTTATCGTGCTAATAGTAACTCTAAAGTGCCTAAAGTCTCCAAGTCAAAGAAAATTTCATGGTCAAAAATTCGGGTATGTCCAAATTAATGTTATTTTTAAACAATTATGTAGAGTATAAGTAATGCGATTTTGTAATGCGATTTATGAAAGAGGTCATCATGGAAAATGAAATTATGATCCCCATGAATGTACGTGATTTTAATTGTTATTAATTTGTAAATTAATGTAATTTAGTTCTAATACAATTTTTGATGTTTTTATATTTGAAGTACTTTCCTGACCACAAATGTCGTACCTACTCTAAGGATAAGTTAACTGAGGTCAAAGAGAATTGGTCTACCTATATGGTGGATGATATTTTCGGTGAGTTTTCTAAAGCCTACAATATATAGATACCTAATACCTTACTTGCATATTAAAAGTTTGAATTGGTTGTACCATTTTCACTTAAGGTGTTCATTTGAATCCTATATTGAACTTGGTTAGGTAAAATGATGTTCTTCATAATGCAGTATTTTTTAATTATATTAAAATTTTGTTTTCAGGTTTTTGTTTTCTGATTATTGTACAATACATAATCAATATTCTTTCTATGATACAGGAAAACAAGAAGCAATGATTTTGCCTAGCTAGCTAGCAAAGTGGTTGTATCTTTGGATGTAGCAGTGCTTTGGTTCGCAAAGTGGTTACTAGCTACTTGATGTTGTTTTGTTGTACTTTCTTGTTTTTTTAGATGTTTTTTTCATTAGTTTAGAGAATATGCCTAGCTAAGTGATTGTAATTTTTGTTTGGAATTTGGGTTGAAGTACTCTTAGCCAAATTAATAACTAGTGGCAAAATATTTTAGTTGTGTTTATAAAATATTTTGGTTTGAAGTACTCTTAGCCAAATTAATACATAGATACAATTCATTATGTGTTTATTATGGCAGTGGTATAAATATATATGGTACCACATTTGTCATTTTTAATTTATCTTCAAATATTTAAATAAATTCTAATGTCGTAAAATGCAAATGCCATATATATATATATATATATATATATATATATATATATATATATATATATATATATATATATATATATATATATATATATATATATATATATATATATATATATATATATATATATATATATATATATATATATATATATATATATATATATATATATATATATATATATATATATATATATATATATATATATATATATATATATATATATATATATATATATATACCAAAAGAATGATTTTGTGTAAAAAAAAGTGTACTATAATAGCGTTTTGAAGAGAGAGTGTTATTAACGATACGTACTATAATAGCACTTTTATGAAAAAGTGATATCTAATATGTGACTTATAATAGCGCTTTGTTTGAAAGTGCTATCTAATATGTGTCTTATAATAGCGCTTTTGGAAAAATGCTATTAAATACCGGTACTATAATAGCGCTTTTAGAAAAACGCTATTAATTATCAGTACTATAATAGCGCTTTTAAAGCGCTATCAATTTTTTTTTTACAATAGCGGTCTGGTTAATAGCGCTTTTAAGCGCTATCAAAAAGCAAAAAAAGCGCTATTAAATAGCTTTTTTGTAGTAGTGTCACCTGTGTTTATCTCCATCTATGTCAGCGATTAGACATAAAATTATTGATGTTGGTTTTGTTAACAATAGTTATTAAGTTCAGATGAAGTTGAAACTCAGTTGTCCATTGTCTCTCATCACTGACCATTATAGGGAGAATTGTAGTAATGGTGTAAGAGCATGAGCAACATCATATATGGGACATATAAGGTATTGTGAAGAAGAAGTAAAAAAGTTGACATACTTTGTATTGTATTGATATTGTTGTATAGTTAAGATTGTATTGATATTTTTGTAAGTTATGTTTAGGTTATGGTAATGTGATGCTAATTTTCGTATAATGAAATGTTAAGTTATGTTAAAGTTTCAACATAATTCAGTTATGATTTTGCCACCTCTTCCTCTTAATCTCACTAAACACAAAAAAAAAACCAAAAAGACTCTATTGTCCTATCAGATTTTTAAAGAATCCTGCCACACCCATACTCATAACAAATTTTTTGAAATATTTGATGACTACAAATTATAACCATACCGATATTTTTAAAATATCCAATATGTAGAATGCATTTTTTTTGCTATTTTAAAAATCAGGTAAAACATATACCTTTATATCAAAAAATTTGAAATATCCGATAAAAATGTATCAAAGCAAATGGATTATGTCGGGTATTTCTAAAAATACGGTATACCTACAAAAAATTTCATACCTATATTTTAGGAAAATATTTGGTGAAAATTAAAGGAACACCGAACTTATCTTAATTTCATAAAAAACCATGAGGCCTACGTCCAATATCCAAGAATAACACCTTAAGATTTCCACTAACAACTTAGATTTACCGGTAGGTTCAATCGACGGCCTTTCACCTAAAAAATTTATCTCAGGTTTAACTTGCAGCTTTTATAATATATATGTTCAAGAGAATAACTCTCTCTTGACTTTACAATTACAAATCATAGATTAGAAAAAAGAATTATACAAAGTTGATATTTAAATAGTTACTCTTTCAGCACTAAATTATATGAAGTGTATATGAAAATTTTAGGAGCAAAGTGAAAATAGAGGTGAAGGTAAAAATCTTATGAAATTGTTCTGATGATAACAATATCAATTTTCTTGTTTTAATCTTTTGTCTTATTGAAATTTTATCACATTTGAGTTTCTCACATAAGTCTCTCTCACTCCTAGAATGAAAATCATTTTTATTGCAGAAATGGACATTTGACTAAAGTCAACACAGTTGACTTAAATCAAAGATTTGGATGATTTCAATCAAGTAGTGTTATTAATCATGATTAATATCATTAGTAGTTTTGATTTGACTCACAAGCTTTCATAATTTTCAAATATAAAATTCGGAAAACATAATTTTAATCATGATTCTATTTGATTCGAATCATGAACACTTTCTTTGCAAAATGAGTTCAATGCTAGAAACATGATCAGAATCAAGGTTTGATGTTATTCAAATCAAATGGTTTGAATCATGATTCAAATCATAATTAGAATATTTTTTTCCAATTTTTGTTATTAGACTCGGTTCTTCTCATCTCTTGATTCAAATCTTTTTTTATGCATTTGACTGAAATCAAATAGTCATTTTTACATTATTTGTGTGCTTTATCTTTAACATATATATAAATTTTTCTCTCTAAAATTTTCAACAACCTTTTATAATTTTTGTAGTTCATCATTCACACATTCATTTCTCTCTAAGAGTCACCTAGAAGAAATAATATTTTGAGAGTAAATCTCTTGAGTGAGAAACTTTGGTTTGTGGGAGATTTTTTACAACTTATTCTTATACCTCAAACACTAAACATCATTGATGAGTATGTATGTTGCTCAACTCTAAGAGAAAATATGAGTTCTTGTTGTGAGGAGTTAATTAAATTAATGTGTTAATGATTCTATGAATCTTTTTAAGAAGAAAAAATTTGGTTGTTGGAATTCTGGTGAGTGGTTTTCATTGAAGAAAAAGAAGAAGGCTTCTCCAAAGTGGATTTAGAGTTTCTACCATCTGTCATCAATTTAAATACTCGAGCAAGGTAATCCTAATGGAATTGAGTGAAGATAGCTGTTGAAAGTGAGTTTAGACTGCTTGTGATATTTGAAAGTGATTCAACTCAAAATTGTAGATTTTAGAGATTTTAGAAGTCTTACGAGTTGTGTGTAGTACTTGAAGAAGAATCAAGAATTAGGATTGTAAAGCTTAGTGTTTAAGTCTAATGATTTTAACATTTTGTCTTTGATTATCATCTTTGCTAAATGACACTATAAAATTTCATAGTGGACGCTTCAACCAAATTTATGATAGTTTACCATTAGATTGGATTAGATGTCATACAATGACGAAGACACTAAACTAGTATAAATTCAATGTACTATCTCTCTAACTCTTTCTCTTAATTTTCTGTTCAAGTCTTGTATGGTAAATTTATTGTTTTAGTAGTTTGAATGCTTTTGGCGATTTTCTTGTATATTTTGATTTATTTTGTAGGTGTTGGTTTGTTTAGAACTAGGCTTCTAAATTTATCTTTTTGCTAATTATAGTTTCTAGTTAAATCTAAATAGATTAATTCTTAGTTAATTTATCATTGTTTTTCATTTCTTAGAATTTCTCTATTAGAAATTCAATGAATATTTATCCAATTGCATAATTTCTAAAAACAATTTTCAAACTTATGTTATTGTTCTCAACTCAGTTTTGAAAAATATTTTTAAAATGGAAAGATATATTCAACCCCTCTTTTAAACAATTATATTTTAATATTCATCAACAACTTGTATGTTTTTTAATGAGCACAAGACCACCTTTTAAAGTAGGCAATTTTGGCAAATAAAAAAACTTTCGAAAAAATCAATTTAATAATAAAAAGATATTAAAACTCGAAGTTCAGATTAAATGTGTATTTTAAACCGTCATATCTAATTTTTAAGTTATCATCTAAAAGACTATTTCACACTTTTTGATACATCTTTATTTTTAATTATTTTGATGTTCATGATATTTGTTCTTAGTTGCGTTATCATTAAAACATATATCTATGTTCATGATATTTGTTCTTAGTTGCATTATCATTAAAACATATATCCACCTAGAATCACATATTGTCCTATTTATACTACAAATAATTCGTGTATTGTATAAATTAAACCAATTTTAAATAAGGCCTATTATTTTTAGGAGTATAAATACTTTTCATATTATTAAGTAAATTAGTGTAAATGGGACAAAATCATAGATTTTATTAAACAAGGAGAATCCTAGGTTACATAGATATATTGTATCATAAAAATTCAAACAAAAACAGAAGTGAGAAACAAGTTATCTAGACATGTCTCCTTAACGTTTGGTTTAGTCTATTTTGAAGCAATAAGAGTTTCGTACAGACCTTTGTAAAAGGCCAAAAGGGTTTCTCTAGTGGGCAATGTTTCCTTAACAATAGGGTGATTGTTGAAGTCTTGGCTCCATTTGTAAATCTTGGGAAATTTGTCACTAGTCAACAAATTCAGGCCAAATGCTTCTTGTATAATAGGAAGCCTAGCTATGACGACAGCAGTAATGTCAACAATTCCAATCTCATCTCCACCAAAGAACTTGTCCTTGAGCTCATTCTCAAGAATTTGAAAAGCCTCCTCTATTTCCTCAATACCTTTCTCACGTTCTTTCTCATCAATAGTGTTCATAACTTTTCTTAAGGGATCCACCGACTAAACACACAAATTAAGATATTAAAATTATTATCAGAATAAACGTGTCAGTGTCAGTGTTGTGTTTGAGTCTTCTTCATAATAAAGAAACAGAATAGAAGAATTACCTTGTCATCTATGAATTTTGACCAGAAACGGGCCTGTACTTTTTTGTAAGGATCAGAAGGCAAGATTGGATTTTGTTTCCATGTTTCATCTATGTACTCAACAATCACGAGAGATTCTGATATGGACTTGTGATTATGAACTAACACAGGAACTTTCTTATATACTGGATTGTATTTGATGAGTGTATCACTCAAGTTTCCTTTCTTTTCTAACTCATATGTATATTCAACTCCCTTCAATTTTAGAGCAATCTCCACCCTAGTCACAAATGGACTTTCCACCATTCCAAAAAGCTTCACCTCTTCATTATTTGATGCCATCTTAGTGCTTCAAATTTTTACTCAAACAACTTTTTTCTTTCTTTCTGTTTTTAGCTTATTGATTGATTCTGCGTTCTACTTTTATTTATAGAGCCTGGTTTATTCTTTTTGACAATTAGAGCCAGAATATTTTATTCAACAAAATAGTGGTTGTGAAATTTATTTATTTTTTGTTGAAATAAACGGTTGTCAACATAGAGAATTAAGACAATGAGACTTGTGACTTATTGTCCAAGTAATGTTGGGCAATTAATAAAGTGTTACTAAGTTTGAAAAAATTTCATGTAAATAATTAAGTTTTAAAATTTTAATAGCAAACTAATCAACCTTTTCTTTAAATTTTTAATAGAGACCTAATTAAATTGACGCCCCCTATAATTTGTGAACTTTTTACAAATTTAATGTTATAAATTGATTTATCTACTAATTATCAGAAGTATCGGTAGATAATAAATTAAAAAAACCAAAAAAATTTATAGGTAAATTTGCATATAATATTAAATAAGGAGGCACCATTTTAATTTATTTATTTTATTTGAAAGAAGAATATATTAGAAATTATGGAAAAAGGTTATTTAGTTGGTATTAAAATTTTAAAAAAAATTAACTATCTAAATAAAATTTTCTATATTTCAAATTAAGCTTATCTACTATGTTTGATTTAGAGACAAATTAGAGTTGGTGGCGTATTGAACGAGTCAAGGATGTAGAAAATCTATTTTTCTATAAATATCGGACATGAATGCCTAAACAAATGATGTAAGGGATTATGTAACCAATATATTGACCAGCAATAAATATTTTTTGAAAACATAAAAGTTAAGAGTTTCATCCTTACACACAACTAATTAAAGAATTAGAGCTCTTCGTTTTTTTCATAACACATTAATTACATTTTTACGTACTATTCAGGTCTAAATTATAAATAAAAATAAATAAATTTCACGTTATAATCCAACATTTTTTATCGGCATTTTTTGACAGTCAGGACTGACGGGATCAACGAAAACTTTGAGTTAAAATTGTCGGGAATTGAGCAACCCAAGTGTAATTCCAAACTTGCGTAACTTGGTTTAACAACATCACCCAAATATTCTTTTTTTGACATGAATTTCTCTAGGAACTTCTTGAATCTTGTGATACAAGATGAAGCGAAGGAGCAATGGAGATTAACATGCTTCTATAGCTATCCTGAAAGAGAAAGAAGAAGGCAATCACAAGACTTGCTTCATAAGCTGCGGACATGTCGAATGATTGGTAGTATATCATTGGCGATTTCAACAACTTATTATCTCAGCAAGATAATGAGGAATCCATCCTCACCCAAATTGGTTGTGTGTGGGCTTTCGTAATGCGGTTAGCGACTGCGACTTAACCAACATCAACCTTGAAGGTCATCCGTTTATATGGATTAAAAGTAGAGGAATGGAACATGTGGTGGAAGAGAGATTGGATAGAGCCTTAGAAAACTCTGATTGGATTGCTTCTTTTCCTAATGTCAAGTTGTTTAACCTATTAGCAACTCACTCTGACCATAGTGTCGCAACTGCGAAAAACACCTGGCAGAAAAATAGAAGAGTCGCCACCAAACGTTATTTATCCTAACGGAGGAAAGGAAACGATAGAAGAAAACCTCAAAGAAAGGGAGAAGACATAGTCATCACAACCAAATCCAGGGTTCGGGAGTCGGTTACGCGAGAGGAAGGTATTAACACATCCTTGCGTCCGTTGTACTCAACGGGATCCACGCTTGTTGTCTAATCAAAGCGTGTGTTATTTAAAGCCCACTGCAAAACAAAAACGAGAACGAAAAGGGAAAAAAGAAAAGAATACTCGATAGGACATCGCTGCCCTATGTCTATGTATTCCCTCATGCAATGGGAAAGTCAGAGTCAACGTAGTTCGAAAAAAACTACGGGTGAAGGGGGAAGGTTGCTTGCCAAGACAGTCGTCTTGTGCCTACGTATCCTGATATGGTATGAGAAATCAGAGCATCCGTAATTTGGCTTACAAGTCGATACGTGTTTTTTATGAGCGACATTAAGTTCTCATTCTAGTAGTTAGGGTCAATGCCTATTTGCGGTATAGCGGAAAAATAACGTACTCTTTCTGAAACGGTTTGACACACGATCCCGAAGAATAAAAATGATTTGAGTTTGTCTGAGTTTTAGAGAAGTGAATTGATTTTGTTTGAGATTCACATTGCACTAAAGTATATGATATAGGAGCGAATGCGTCGCACGATCGCTCTCAAACGGGACGTACGCTAAACACTCTAGACGAAGTAAGGAGGGACCGCTCACTCATCATTTTACATATACTTAAGACTCATGGTGCATAATGTTTATCGCATTTATTACTTGTTTTCAAGTTCTTTTGAGAAAGAAGAAGAGAAAGACGCACGAAAGGTCTAAGGGAAACTCGGTTCTAACGTTGTAATGCAAAATGACCCTAAGGTCAGGATGCGAAAGGAACTTTTGTCCTAATATTAGCATGCAAAAGTGGACCTATGGTTGAGGTTAAAAGGGACTAACCTAATGTTATTATGCATGGATTAAATCCTAATGTCTATCCGACTCCAAGCTTAATCAAAAATTAAGTTGGACTAGGAGGCCTTAAGAGAGCATGCAAGAACAACATAAAAAAAGGAAAACAAAACACAAACAACGGCTACAACAACGCTCCAGCTTCAGAACAGCAATAAAAACCCAACAAGTAAGCACAACCGCGTCTAACAGCTCATGTTTTAGCACATAACAGGTGTAAAAAGTGGCAAGTAGAATGTATGAACAATTAACAACATGTTAAAGTTCAGAACAACATGTGTGAAAGGTTCAAGCAGTATGCATACATGAAAATTACAACAAAAGTGTGTGACATTGTAAGTATCAACCATGAACATGCATTACCAATCAAGCACAAAACAAGTTCGATGCACAATCAAACATTTGACATGGATATTATGTATTCAACACCGATTAATCAATTCAAACATTCATGCATTCACGGAAACGAAAAAAAACATAAGCATGTGATACAAATCCAACAAGATAACCATCAAGACACCAAGAATGCAACACAACAATCATAAAAGTTCATCAACGAAAACCAAAAGTCACGCATCGAAAATACTCGAACATGGTATCAAGAATGAAGAAACAAGTCCAAAACAGTCCACATATATGCATTGTATCAATCCATGAGATTTAAAGATGAAAATGAACCCAAACAAGCTTGAAAATGCAAGAAAAAAGCATCTTGTCTTAGTGACAATCGATTACAAATATGTAGATAATTAATTACCCAATTGAAAATGTCAAAAACACACGTGGAAAAGGCAGGGTAATCGATTACTCTGATTATGATAATCGATTACCCTGATTGTGGTAATCGATTACCACTGAGACAGTGGAAAATTTTCAACTTTCAAAAAGCACTTTCAGCAGCAAATGACTTATTCAATCATCCAAAAGAAAAAGCAATCAATTATGCACGAAAATCATGTCAAATCACAACAATCAAAAACTAATTAGAACCAACAAACACCAGAGTCAATAATCCAAACAAGAAATGGATCGAATATCACCAAGAAACCAAGGATCTACATTGTGAAATGCAATATTAAGCAAAATCAAATGTAGGTCTAAAATTTACCAACTTACAAAGTCGAGATTTGTGTTGGTGAGTGTTGTTAAGCTGCAATTAACATATCCAAGCAAGAAATTGAAGGATCTATAAGGCTCTAGCAAGCAAACTTGAACATCCAAGCAATAATACACCAATAAGAAAAAGCTCCTCCAAAAGTGATTCCCACAACTTAATTCAAGATTTAAATGAACTTCCACACCATAATTGAACCAAGGATGATGATGTAATGGAGGTTTAGCTCAAGTATTCACAAATTGCAATGTACAATTTGTGAAGCTTTTGGCTATGGAGCTTTTGTGAAGGTTTTGGAATGAGAGGAAAGTTTGAGAGAATTGAGATGGAGGTTTAGCTCAAGGATTCACAAATTGCAATGTACAATTTGTGAACCTTTTAGTTATGGAGCTTTTGTGAGGATTTTGGAATGAGAGAAAAGTTTGAGAGAATTGAGATGAGTGATTTAGAAAATTTAGAAAATGAGTGAGAGTTATAAGAAGTTTGGAGTGAATTTGTTTAAATAATCCCTAGGTTAGGAATTAAAATATGGTTAGGAGTCTGGGTTAGTGTGAGAAATGGAAATTAGGATTGGAAATGTTTGAATTTTTGGAGGGAGTTGGAATTAATTTGTGAAAATGAATCAAATTTGAACAAATTCTAGATCCTTCTACTGATGCACATGGAAATCACATGATCAAAAAGCAAACCAAGTGCTGCAGTGCTGAAAAATGAAGAATCTGAGAGAATTTTGCTTGAGGTAATCGATTACCCTGATTTTGGTAATCGATTACCACATTCAAAATTTTAAAAATCGGCGCCACAAGGAGGTAAACTTGGAGAATCACCTGTAAACAGCTGCTCTGAGCTTCATTTTACCTCTGAAACTTGACATTTGGTATCGTACCTGTATAATGCGTGAAATAAACAATAAAATGTTTCCTGCGCTCAAAATAATCTACTAAGAAATATAATCTGGTACCCGATTGGTGAACAAAATAAACGTTGAAGCCTCTGATGCTTGCTTCTTAAAATCTTGAACTAAAAGAAAGCCTTGAGCGATAGAAACCACTTGATCCTATGTCTCAAGAACCAATTCCATGACATGCACAATGATAATGAAAATGAACGAAACATAAGCCAGTTACGGTTAGAAACGAGAGGGAAATTTTGGGGCGTTACAGCTGCCCCTATTCAATCGACTTAAACCTGAAGGGATGATAGCATCAGCGTTCAGACATTCGAAGTGTACGGTGTTTGAATATAAAAAGAACCCATAAATTCGCAAACTGTGCAGAGTAACAAAGGTAATGTTATAAGATGCCAACCAAAAGTTGGAACAAGGGATACTAACCAAAAGT